ATTATCTATTAGTGGTTCAGTACATAAATCAATAAGGTTTTCAGCAATCAGATTCTTTTTTTCTACTGGTGAAATTTTAATTATATTGGTCTAAAAAGCTAAGTCTAAAGATTTATCTTGTTTTGATATTACTATATTCTGATTTATACTTTGCGTATTAAGCATGGGGTTAATGGAACATTCCTGTCCTCTCCATAATTGATAAATACGTTTTGATGATGTTTTATACTTAGCCATCAATTCATTTATAGTTTTATATCTTGGTTTTTTATCATGACACTGTAAGATATAAGAATAATCTTCAGGAGAAAATAGAGGTGCATTAGATCTTAAGTATCTAGACATGGTTTTATTATAATAAATCAGAAGTTTGTAATTTATAGGTATTATTAATATTAGTTATCCTGTATTTAATTTATTTTTTCATTGATATAATAATGGAACTAGTGTTAAAACACATATGTCTCAAATTCATATATTATCAGATATAGGTGAAGGCAAAAAACTTGGAGACATGCCCACCAATTGATATCTGTCTAACCAAACAGAACTTGAAAATCAGCTTGTTTGCACAAATCAAGATCGGAAAATTGCTATAGAATATGATAATCGACTTGTTAATAAATGTTCTATCTTGGATAAAGAAAATAAGCGTATACAACATAATCTAAAACAATTCAATAAAGATAAAGAAAAACTCTCTAAATATGCATTCCAGCTTATAAATAAGGTTAAATGACTGAAAGTAAACAATACTAATCTTACATCCCAGATTACCTAATCACAGATTTCCCGTGATGAGTATAAAGCCAGATACGATATACAATTAAAAGAAATAAAATCACTTCAGGCTATAATTAAGATATTGGAAGGTAAGTTAGCATCAACTCAAAAAGACGTATTTTCGATTCAGGAAAACTTATCAAAAACAGAATCTGAGAATCTATCTCTTAAATCTAAAATGGGTGAGTTTAAACAAATAGAAGTTGAATTGGAGCGTGTGAGAAGTGAACTCAATTACCTGAAATCAGAGGCTATATCAGACTCTTTGACCTGTTCCACAATAGTTGGTGGAGATGACGGAAAAAATATAGCCAAGTCTGACTTACAGAATGAGGATGTTTTTGCATCTAATATATCTATAATTAGTGAATCTAGCAATAGTCTTAGACTATATCTAGCACACAGAAAAAATATAGAAGATATCGAAAAAATCGATGATGAAGATAGAATCATCCCTATACTCAAGGTAAGTGACTCATAGAGTGAGGATGCTAATGCATCTGAAACTAGTAAAGATATTATGCTAGACACACATATAAATTCTGATCTGCAGATTTCAGTAGGAGGAATAGAAGCAATACCTATTGTGACAAGTGGTTTAATGTCACCATTATCAGCATATATATTACTTATCTTACTGTTTATTGCTGTTATATGGTTTGTTGTA